AACTCATCAATAAAGACTGCTGGGGAAGGCTAAAAGAGAATTAAATGTGCAGATCTCCAGGGAAAAGAAAGGCTTCATCAATATCTAAAACATGTGCTATGAGTACAGAGTGCTACTGAGTGCTGCCATCAGCGCTCCACAGAGGCTGGGCCCAGAGATAACATCCCACACCATAGGGGTCTTGGTCCCCTGCATTCACTACTGACTTCCAGAATGACCTTGGATGGAAAGCTTGCCTTGTTTTCCCTTGTAAAAATCCTTCAGAGGGGAATGGGCCGAGGCTCCGAGGGCTGCAGGTGGGAAGAGGCCCTCGCTGCTGGCTAATCTGCAGGAAGAGCGGACGGACGCACAGGGACCTGGCTCTGGACATACAGGGACCGGCTCTGCTGTGAAGGGAGAGCAGGACAGTGACTCAGGAAGGACTGAGCATGTTTCTGTGGTGACAGGTTTCTGAGAAAATGGGGGTTTTCCCAGAAACTCAGTTCCCTCAGTTTCATGCACTAAGAGAAAGACGTTCAGGCACTTCCCAGCAAGGTTAGAAATATAAACATAACCTGTCCAAGCTCCCGTGCTGCTGCACCTCCTCATTTCTGCTCTTGTGCTGGGGCTCTTATACCTGTCCAAGTCTGCAGGGGATCCTCCAGAGCAGCACCCCAGCAGCCGGTGCCTACAAGGCTCTACAGGGGTTTCTGTGAGCAACGACACCCGTGAGCTTACCTGCAAACGTGGTTACTCACAGGCCACCCACAGTCAGGAACCACCACTCCACTGATCATGCATGGAGGTCAACACCTGTTTTGGATCAGCCTTTAACCACACAGAGGGGAATGAAGCACTTGGTGCAACCCCCACACCCCCTGGGCTGCCTGAGACAGGTGCAGGGCAGGCTGCAGCACCCAAGGGACGGGGCTTGGTCTCCCCAGCCCAACATGGGCAAGCAGCAGCAGCAGCAGCAAGGTACCTGTGAGGGATCTGTCCCTGCTGGGGCACTCACCTCTCAGCTCCCTGCGTCGGCAGGAATTGCTCTTCCCAAGTAACTGAGATCATTCGCTACTGGAAATGCTCAGCAGCTCTTTTTCTGCACCAGGGAGCTATAATCAGAAAAGAGAAAACTACTGATCTAAATGGCCCTAGTGCGTGCAGTATTCCTTCTGTTAATACAGGTAGCAGTGATAGCAGGAGCTGGTCTCCTCTACACTGAGCAAGTGAACTTAAAAGCCTTTGTACACCTAATGATTCATTGAATGCACTTGTTGGGCACTAGCATCCCTGCTGTTCAGACGATTATAGCTCATTTGAGAGCATCGTGCTCTCTCCCTGCAAGGAATTTTTCCGTTCTGAAGACTTCACATAAATCTCCTCCCTGTTGCCTACTCCCCCTCAGCCAGCTGGTCAGGGCCACCACATAACCATGACCTCTCTTTTGGGATGACTTTGAAGCAACGAAGAGACAGCCAGGCACATTCCTCCCACAGTAACATCTCTCCAGGGAGACAAAGCTCAGTGCAGCCAGCAGGCTGAAGAGATGCACTTCAACAGCAAGGGAGCAAGTCCGGGGCTCTCAGAGCAAGGACAGCCACACCTAGATCACACACCATGCTGAGGCTGGGTGGCAGCACCAGCTCTGTCTGCAGGACGGGACACAGTGGTGACCCTGGAACAGGGTGCACAGCCAGACACCCCATGTATGAGGCTGTGCAGAAAGGTCATCTGTGACACCCATGAGCTCCTGGCTTCCCACACGAACCATCGGCTTTGGGAGCCCAGGTCCCACCAAGAGGAGGTCAGGTAGGACGCAGCTCCCAGAGAAACATTAGCAGATGCCAGGGCTCCAAGCTGCAAGTCCACAGCTCAGAAGCCAGCCCATAACACCTCAAAAGAGCACTCTGGAGTGCAAGGCCCTTCCTGCATCACGGACAAGGGAGCCAGGACTAGGTGCATTAAGCCAATTTCATTCTGCTGTGAGAGTAGTAAGTGGAGAAAGGCACCAGGGAGGAAGGGGAGCAGGGCTGGGAGTGCTGTGCTGCAGCCTCCTAGTGAGGAGTGGGGTTTAGTTTCTGCTCTTCAGAGGATGTTTCACAGCAGGAAAAGAGCCATCACTGCCCTTAACAGTTTCGCAGGCAAGGTGTATTCTTCATGCCTTGTGATGGGGAAAAGGCAGTGCCATTTACCTGCTCCTCATTTTTCTCTCTTCACTACTGCAGCCCTATTTAGTCCTAGCCCAACAGGACACAAGGACATTCTGAGTCTCCAATGCCAAATTGCAAAAGAAAGAGGCACCAAGGCATCTCTAGGGGAAAATTGCTCCTGATTAAATAAATGAAGGAGCAGAAAGGAAATGTCATTCACTTAGAGACTCTCAGAGGCAGCTCTACAGGGTAGTCTGAAGTACTCAGTTAAGTTTTATTTTAATCTGTGCAGAACCAGTCTGCCCCTAAACTGGGCACTTGCAGAAATTAGTTACTGCTACATCTGCTTTCACTGCAGGGTTTTTATTTTGAACAGATGGAACCAACCACTGGGGTACCTCAAGGGAACAGGCTACAGGGTGAGTAAATTGCTGCAAGCAGCCAGGTCTTGCAGCCCAAATCTCCAGGGCTGCAGGGGGAGGACTCTGCACTCCTGCCCTGGGAGGGGACACAGCTACTACCCAAAGCCTGACTGAGCTGCCTGCAAGGAAGCTATAAAATGGTAATTGCCCCCTGATCACTGGCACTGTAGAACAAGACAATTCCAATAAGAATGTGAGAAATTGCTTTTAAGCAATTGCTTCACACTGCACACAATCTTCAGAGAAAGACATTGCTACATGCTTATTAGAAGCCAGGAGCACCATAACAATATTGCCCAGGGGGAATCATTTCCCTCTGGGCTGCAGATGGGTAACTGAAGCCACATGACAACCCTACAGGCATGGAGAAAGAAAATGACCAGGGAGCAGAATGGGATCTGTGATCATTTTCTGTAACCAGACAAGGTGTGGGATCCCACATTGTTCTTCCCAGAGGGCTGCTCAGCTTTGTACCTGGCTCCACACTGAGGCAGTGAGGCTGGTGAAAGGCAGTTTGAAAGCAGCTGCTGCGGACAGGCCCAGAAGCATTTCCAGGCTGGAAGAGACAGGGCAGCTGCAGGGAGGCACAGCTGGCTGCGGGGAAGGGAGGCAGCAGCCCTTCCCTGGGGGCCACCACCAGCCCATCACCGACCCTGGCCCAGACCAAGCCTTGAGCAAGACTTTTTAATGGTGGAAGAGGGTCCAGATCACTTCTGGACATCCCTGTTATCCCAGAGTTTCAGTCACCAGAAAGTGCCTCACTCCTGTCACCTGTGAGCCGGACAGGAGGAACACCCAGGCCACGGGTAGGGGCAGTGGTGCGGAGGGACAACATGGAAGTGCCCACACCAGAGGCTATGGGAGGTAGGAAAGGGCACAGGGCTCCCTGCGTGCTCGGTGGGGAACTGGGATCCCTGGAGCTCGCCTGTGCGAGCAACTCCAGCTCACACTCTGCTTTTCCAGGCACTCAGCACTCTGCAATCTGCATGTTCTCTGCCCTCTACGCCTGAAATTAAAATGACCAGTGTTTAGTAGGTGGGTCCTCCATGGAGGGCAAGGCTCAGTAATTGACAGGTTGGATTCAGGAGTAGTGCAGTGACAAAGGGGCAAGAGTGGGGTCAAAGGCAAGTAGAATCCCCCTATAACCAAACAGCTATTCACAACTTCTTGGCTTGTAGGGGTGAGCTGGTGGGGGGCTCCAGAAGAACAGAGCTGGTAAATCCCAGGCCAGAGCCTGTTCCAGGCCCCCTTGCACAAAGCTCCATAGGGCAGTCTATACCCACCAGCTCACCTCCTCACCACAGGAAGGGTGGATACCCAGCCTGCTTGGGCCTTTCCTTCAGCCTCCCTCAGTACAAGTCTGTGCGACCAGCTGCCTTCCTGCAGTGTGAAAACGAGGCGCCTGCCAGGATGGAATGAGCAACACCCAGGCATTTCCAGTGATCTGCCCCTGCTTCCCTCGGGCTCAGAGCCACCACTGCCCACAAAGCAAAGCAGCTTGAGCTAGACTTAGGAGAATTAAGCGACCTGCCCTGTGAGTGGAGCGTGGAGAGCCCCCGAGTGGCCATGCCTGTTGGTGGCAGGCAGGTTTCCCCTTTGGTTGGATAGCAGTGTGCTTTCAAATTTGTAACGTGCCTTCTCCCCTCTTGCACTCAAGAGGCTGGCAATAAAAATGGGGTGCACATCTGCTCCATTTTTTGCACAAGGATGAGGGAAAGAGGAAAGGGATTTCCACCCTTTCTGCGGTGATCGGAAACCAGGCATCACAGGTTACTAAGGATGCCACTAAGCAAAGCTGGGTGTGCCACAAACCCTGGGATATTGTGCTGTGTGTGCACACTCCCACGGCCACAGCCTGGGCCCACGCCTGCTGCAATACCTGGTGCCTGGAGGTCCTGCGAGCCCCACTCTCAGTGTGTCACACGGAGGCGACCCCACAGCAGCACATCGTGCGCAGGACACCAAACACAGAGACATGAAGCAGATGCCCAGCGTGGCTGAAAGACCCGGCCCTTGCAATTCTCCCTCTTCTGTGCAAGACGAGGCAGTTGGTGACCGTGAAGCTGATAAAGGCAGAGACAAATTCAGCTTTGCCCTGCTTCCTGCTGTCACTATAGACTCAGAATCCATCCATATGACCCATACTGCTCACACTGTCTTTTTGCTTTCACTGCACAGGAGAGGCATAGAATATTAAAGCTTTATTTTTCTATTGGCCAGCAACTTAAACTGGGTTAAAAAAAATAAGGCAATGAATATTATCACGCAGAGAAAAAGTATAAAACAGTCAGTGAACACCAGCCAACTTGTTGTTATATCTCACTTTTCCTGGTCTTCCCCCACCCCTGCTGTACAATGTACTTGAAGGGAATGGGCAAAGGCATCTATGAAAATATGCTTTAGAAACTAGAAATATTGCTTCAAGCAACATGCTCAATATTTTCCTCTTAGTTAGTAGTCAATACTTGTCAGAAACTTGAATACAAAACAAGAAATAACTTAGAGAGTTCTCCTTTAGATCACTATGCAATAATTTAGATTTCTTTCCCCTCCTTCCCTTCGCCTGGAACAAGGATACACCTGAGCTCCTCCACCTCTCTACATTAGTACTACGGATTATTTCAAGGTGTGGATGCCAACAAAGCAGTTTCAGATTCACTTGCTCTGAATTTCAACATCTCACTCATTAGCGTCCTTGCAGGAGCCAGCCCAGGGCTTCTGCTCTGTGAATCAAAACCTCCACAACAGGAAACTGGCTGATGAACTGTTAACCATTTGGCTTCCAGGGGCAGGGAAGAGCCTGTGCCACTAAAAGGCCATGAAAAGGAATAAATTTCTTTACTTATGAAAGGGCTTGTCTCAGCTGCTTAAATAACAGAAATCCCCAAACTTCACACGCCTTTCTTCTTCTTCATGGTTTAACAGGCGTATCAGGAAGGTGAAAACATGACCCTAGTCCTACCAGGCAGACTTACTGAAGAGAACACTACATTCTTTCCAGGACCATTAGGGAAAGAACAAAACCCACAACCCAACCAGGAGGGGAGTGGCACAGAAGTGCCTGCAAATTCAGGTCAAGATCCTGTTGGCATCACTAAAGAGATCATGGCAGCAGTGATGTCTATGTCCTGTAGATATCCTGGGTTCCAATGAAGAGATAACACTTAAATAAACCTATTTCTCCACAGCAAACAGTTAACTTGATCAAGCTCACTCAATTTACCAAATACACTGAGGCAACTGGATAAAGCTGATTATACTGCTTACTGCTGAAAAGGTTAGGAAAGTGGGCTTCCTTGTCTCCTTAAAGCCAGAAAACCTTCAGTTGATTAACAAACACTTTGGAAGCTGATAACATCACTTGTACATATTCATTGCCTGCCCAAGAAAGATAATTCTGAAGATCGTAATTAGCCCAGGGCATCTCTCAATATGTGAGACATGAGACATTAGGCCCAAAAGAGTTAGAATGGAGTTCAATGTCTTTGCAGCAGAATCGGTAAAGACAAAAGGCCTCTTGTGGCTCCTAATGGCACTGTGTTGGGTGAAAGCTTCAAGGAAGAAGAGGAAGGATTACTGATTAATCCTAAGGCAGCCACATCTTGGCAATGGAGTCATGATAAGATTTCAGTTGCACCAAGTTATGTTCCCAGTTTGAAGGGAGAGAAGTTTCTGCCCCAAGCAACCAAGCTGGCATCCTCTCGGATGAAAACGGTTGTGTTAAGACATCAGTGTGCACTCAGGGGACAGAGAGAAATCTTCCTTGTATGAGAGACTCAGCCCTGGCTCCAGCTCAGCGCAGAAACATCATCTGTCCTCACAATCAACGCGTGGTGCTGTTGAGCTTATCAGAGAGCAAACCAAGGTTCTTGTATAGTGTCTTGATATCTTCATGTTGGTTCAGGAAGAGCCTGAAGAGAAATGGCCCTGGATAATCTTGCTTTGGTTTTACGTTTTGCTAAAGCTTCCAGCAGAAGACCCACAGCTCAGTTGCTTCTTGACAGTGAAGAAAACCCACTGAGCCCCTGCCTGCCTTGTACGTGACAAGGGGGATGACTCTCCCCAAAAAGGGCAGGCCAGGCAACGCATGGTCCCAAAGGCATTTCATTACAGAGCCAAGTCCTCGGGTTACTGACTTCCGTGCTGGTGGCAGAGGGTGGTGAGGTTGGCAGGCGCTAAGGGAGGTGGCAGAGGGGGAGCTGACAGAATTCCTGCAGCTCTTAGTATGGTTCCGACTTTAAGCTCTTGTACAAGCAGCAGGTGAAAATCATTCCAAAGATCTACAGGGCATAAAGAGAAGAGACAAATGCATGAGAACAGTTTATGGACCACTGAAAAACAGAGTGGGAAGACATCACCACTGAACTTTATAAATACACTCAGGTCTACTGTTTCCTTTCTTCTTTTCCTTCCTTCCCAGAAGAAGGTTTTCCTTTGACCACCCAGACAAGCTGGCAGAACTGCTGACCACCACAGCTCCAGTTTACAGTGGTGGGAAACACACAGGTCCACCACTTCTGAAAAGCAGCCCCTCGGATCTCCCAAGAGCTGCATGCTGGAGGCCAGGAAGGCGAAGGAGTAGAACGGATGCAGAACAGTGTGGAGGCAGCAGCTTGCAAGTTACTAGCTGGCTGCAGACTGCAGTGCAACTAGTTACCATCTGGGGATCCTGCAGTCCAGTTTGTTTAATCTGTGCTAATCCCCACAATTAATCACCAGCAACTTCTTTGGGATACAATTTGGCCGCTTGCCAGGAAGAAGGGGAAAATGAGCAACTCCCTGAGACATCTGCAACAGGGAGATGAGACTATCAACTCCAACTAAAATGGAGTGGGAATTCATATCCTACCTTTTTACTTATCCCCATCTTACAAATCATTTGCAGACCCACAGTGTCACTCATCAGTATGACAAAGAGAAAAGAAAAAATTCTGGAATATACTAGGCAAAAGCAATAATCCAGGGTAGGAAAAATCTTCCAGACAGGCTGCATCTCCTTAATTATACAGGCAATCATGGCACATTCCCACAAGAGGTCTCTCTCAGGCTGCAAAATGCTCAGCAGTAAGAGCCTCTCCCGTGGCCACGAAAGCAGTGCTGCCATGTGGATTTTTCTTCCCATTCCTTCACCAGAGGCAAAGGTGCCAAAAAGGATCTTGTTTTGGAGCTAGTGAATCTTGGGATTCCTGGAGTATCTGGCAGCTTCTCCTAAATCAAGGGAAAGTCTGATCTTTTCCATCTCTCAGCTTCAGGGTTCCTTTAAAACTGTCCAGTGCCCCCAAAACACCAGTCAGTCCTTACCTGCACACAAGCAATGCTAATCCCAACTGCCCCGATAATCTTCAGATGCTCTTGAATGAAATTTTCCAGCTTGGTAATGCAGCCATTCTGTGGAGAGAAGGGAGGGAAAAACATGGAATGTTTCATTTTAACTGCCTGTCTGTTGCTTAGGACAACACTGCCAACTTTGAAAGCCATGCTATAAAAAGCAGCATCTGTGAGCATCGTTTCCACCAACATCATTAAAAAAAGCTACAGAGATGACGTAAACTGCATAATGTTTGTTATGGCTCTAGATCTACTAGAGAGCACTTACAACAGCCACCTGCAGGAGAGCTCAGGAGCTCCCAAGCAGGCCCAAGAAGGCTGCTCCTGGCAGGAGAAACACTGAAGAGCAGGTATGCCTGGAGAGGGGGTTTATTCCAGTCAGGCCAGAAGAGCAAAGAAATGCTCCTGAGCGGATCCACTACTGAGACCTTTCATCTGAGAGGAGCCCTTTAAGAGCAAAGACCTCCCAGTGCTGCCTCTGAGAGCACTAAGTGAGTGCTCTGAGAGCACTAAGTCTGCGTGTGGGCCTGGCTCTGCCTGCCTTCTCTTGCAATTGCACCCTCGGCTGGCATGGGGGCCCTTCCCTCTCTGCTTAGTTCTGACAAGTTTTTGTTGTCATAAAGAAATCAATTAGACTTTTTCTTTTCCTTTTTTTTTTTTTGAAGAATTCCATTTAAATCATTAAATCATTTAATGATTTAATTTAATGAGGCATTTAATTTAGTGAGGCAGGTTTTCCATGGCAATATGGAGATTTATTGTGTAGGCTACATTGGAGTTCCAAGGGTGCTGGGGGTATTCCTGCCCCAGAGAGCTTTCAGTGAACACAGAAACCTGCACACACAGAGGTGGGGAAGGAATGAGAACACACCCCTTCAGTGAGGGATGGCAAAGGTTTCCGTTTCCCCAAGCCTGGATTAGAAGGTTTAGTCAACCCCAGTTGCCTTAATCTGAAATTGTTATTACTCTTCCCTGAGTTGTTTTTCCTCCCCAAAGTCAATAAAATCCTTTCTGAACTCTGCCCTTACTTAGATCCAAGCCACCCCTGGCAGCTTCGTCTCCTTCTAGAGCTAACCCCAGGTCTCGCACCTTATAGGAGCTCTCTCAATAACCCAACTGGGCAGCTGTCTCCAGTTTATACAGCACAGACAGCAAGGGCAGAGCCTGCCCTAACACTAGACTCGTTGCAGGTTTCCACTCTCAGGGGCACCTCATCAGCCCCTCAGATGCTTTTCTGCATCTCCTTATTTGTGGGAGAAGCAAACCCTCCTCCTCCTGGCTTTGCAACCCCTTCCCACAACCAAGTTCCCTGCCAGTGTATTCCATACTGGGTTTACTGTGTGTTGCCTGCAATCCCCCATACACTAGCAAACACAACTACACACCTCTGTCCCCACACTTGCCCACATGCAAGAGTTCACCCTGACTCTTGGTTGTAAAGAGTTAAATACCTCCTCTTCTTGTCTTCCTTGAAGCTGTTATAATTCACCTTTAAAGGCTGCAAGCTAAACTAGAGAAATAAATTCTGCTTTCTAAAGACTCCTGCTAACTTTGGAGCCTACTAACAGCTTCCAGCACTGATCCAACAAATCCTTTATATACTTCACAACCAGGAGGCTCTGAGGCTCTTCTGCTCCTTACCTCCTTGTAGATGTTGGAAGGATGGTCTCTTCGGCCGCAGTGGTCAGTTATAGTCTTACAGCAGCTGTCTGGGACCTTCCGCCCGCTGGCCTCCGGAGATCTGATCCACAGGCTGTCCGTCCAGTCTGTGTAGTTGTTGCTCCCGCAGCACTTGAACTGCATGAACACAGATTAAAGGCTAAGCTTGCAAGCACTGCAACGTCCTTCCCCTCCAGCCTCCCTGCAGCCTAGGCTGGGCTTCATCTTCCTTTGCAGACACTCCAGCTACCTCATGGGCCGGGATTTCTTTAAGCTCATTAATGTTCATTAATGACCTTTTTGTTAAGAATTCCAAATATGGCCATTAAATATCAGCACCACCCACTTTTCAGCAGCCACAGTCTCTAGTTACTGCTGGGATAGACTGCAATCAGAAATTGCCTGCAGCTATCTCTGCTCTTAACCACAGGACTGCAGAGCACCAATGGTGACAACATGGTGGATTTAATTACCAATCATTAAAAGCAATGCTGCTGTTCAGCATTCATGTCAGCCTTTCCCCCAAAGCTCTAGTGCTGGAAAGAGAAACAACTGACAGAGGGACTGGGCAGCTGCAGTTCACACCAGGAGCCCTCAGCTTCCCCAACCCTACCGCGACTCCAGCTCAGAAATCACAACATGCAGCTCCACTGTCTTGAATCAGAGGACTCAACCTGTCACGGGTCCTGTCTTGAATCGGAGGAAGCTGTGAAACATCTGCATCTTCGATGACAAGAAACCACAATGCCTTCTGTTTGTTTTTAAGCCCTGCTGTTGCATTAATGCTTCCTACCTTTTGAGACACCTACCTTCTGCTGCAACTTGTCTACAGCATTGGTAACACTCTCTTCACCCTCCTTCCTGTACTTCTGGGTCATGGTGTTCTTCAAGTTTTGTTTTAACTCCGTGCTTAGCTAGGTGGAAGAAACAGGGGATATAAAATCATGCAGCAAACCCATCTTCCCTCAGAGCGAGCCAGTGCCCTGCATAAATTTAATGGCTGCTACTCCAAGAGGAGAGCACAAAGCCTAGTGAAGCTACAGCTTCCTTCCAGCTCACCTTCCAAGGCTGCATTGGATTGCCTTCCAGGAAGCACACAAGCCTATAGCCAATTGGTCAAAGATCATACTCCCATTTTATTAAGCAGAAAGAGTTGTCTCTGGCTTAAATTTCATGCCTGTGCTACACATCACTGTAAGGATCTCAGTCCTGCATAAGTAAGAGAAAGCGCCAAGATTTGCCTGGCTCAGAACTGAATGCATGAGACTGTGCCTGCTTAAAATATGAGCAGGTCTGTGGCATCACAGGCCAACTTATGCCTCTGAATCCCCTGACTGCATATTAAAGCCAAAGCAGCCTATCCAGGAGCAAAAGGAAATAAGAATCCTGAGCATGATGGACTGAAGCTGCGTAGCTTGAAGAGCTCCTGTAGCAACACCAGCAGGAGGGGATTAAGGCTGTGACTGTAGGAGTACTGCAAACTGTACATTCAAAGGCCTTTCTGATGCCAGTGATACAGCTGCAAGGCTGGAGAGAGGAGTCTGCTTTTGCAAGTGTACTTTTCCTGAAAAACACTCCTATCAGAAACCACTGGCAAGCTCAGGCAACTGGTTTCAAACATCTTTCTCTCTTGGAGAGGCTCTTGTAATATGCTTGAATTCTTTTCATCCACCCCAGTGGCAGTCAGAAGGTACCAGAAAGTACCTGAGATCTGCATCTATTTGTCATCCAGGTTCATACAGCAAGTGCTCTAGTTCAACACATGTGAAATCCTATGTTTTCTATACCAATAAACAACATCATCATGACTTTTGGATGGTGTCATTGAATGCACTGGATGAAGACCTTTTATATACTCATTTATTTCTTCACAGTAACCAATAAATCATTTTGTTATGCTGAACTGGATGAAATGCACTATGTTGTTTACTTTCCCTTTGAAGCCTTGTTGTATTTTTTCCAACCCCACATTTTAAATGGGGCAATACCTACCTCACAGAGGTGATGTGAGGCTTCATTCATTAACATGTGCAAAATGCTTTGAGATCCTGGACTGGGAAGCTCTACAGAAGTGCAAAGGACTTAGTATAATAAAGAAAAAGGAAGAGGTTCAGCAGCTGGAAAGCACCAAAGGCAAATAAAGAGGAGAGTCCATTAGCAGAACTATTACGTGGGAGAAAAGCAGTTACCTGCGGGCTCACGGGGAAGAACTGCAGCATGGAATAGAGACAGCAAAAGAAACAGAGTTTAGGCAGACAAGCACAAGCCTTAGGCACCAAAGCAAGGGTAGAAATAAAGCCAGTGGCAAGCAGAGCAAGCAGCCCGCACCCAGGAAAGAAGGGTGATTTCTGTCAGGCAGAGCAGTTGCTGAGCACTGCTCTCCGGGTCACGCAAAGCGCTCCAAGGGAGCGGCTCCGAGCACACCATCCCTTGCTTCAACCTGAGACACCACCTCTTTCCATTCGTTAGGGCACAGTAACTTAGTCTTTGCATACATGGACCTTGGCTTCCTGCCACGCTCCCAGGATTGATCTTTCCCCATTAAATATGAACACTTCTGCCACTGATTTCTCTTGGTACAAGCAAACATAGCTCAAACTGCCAGCACACATCTTAACAAGGCAAAGCACAGAAACCCCAAGGTAAAAGGAACAGTAAAAAAAAACAGACAGTGAAGCCAACAAGATGGGATGCCCAGCTGATTTTTAGGCAGACATTTGACAGCAATCCTGGTTTGCCCTTTCCAATTAATTTCCAGACATGAGAGCAACTTCCCAGGCTGTATGTATCTTTGTGGCTAAACTCTGTTTAAAAACAGAGCAGTGACTGAAGCTCCTGCTCTCTGTAGCTGCAACAGGTGCCAAGTTAGGACTGCAGCTGTTCAGAGCCTACGCTGATCTCCAGGCCCTCAGCGGGGCTAGTTACACAAAGCTCTCAAGAACTTCTGGACCTGAAATAACCTGAACCTCTCAGCTGGACCATTTATCATCTTTGCCAGTTCAGGAGTACGGCAGCTGGCTTGCTGGATGCAGCAGGGACTGTTTGCATCTCATGAACATACTAGGTGACACTATCAAGACTTCAGCTGCTGGCTTCATGCCCTGCACATCCACAGCCTCAACAGGTCTCTCCCACAGGGCTCTGCAGACGAGCAGGGGCGCAGCTGAGCTGCCTGGATGAGCTGAGCAGCATCAGCCTCCCACATGTAACCACTAACACTTTACTGAAACCAGTAAATAATCCAAAGTCTTTTTTATATGCAGGGAAGAGTACAGACATATAGAAAGCTGAGCCCCATGCAGACCCTAGATTCCAAGCCTCCGACATTTCTGAGTAAAAATGGGATCACCAGCTGTTTTCTCTCTCCCTCATTTGAGTCTGAAGTACAAATGTTTACTCACCTGCTGGTAATAGATATAGGCCAGGATTCCAGCAATGATCTCAAGGAGGAAGATGCAGAGCAGCAATATGAAGTACTGTAAAACGAGCAGAAAAGTTGGACATTAAACCAGAACGTGGGGAGGTGCTGGGATGAGGCTTCACACGGACCGGTGAAATGCATGAACCCATCTTTGCTGATGCTTTTCTGCAGGAGCAGCTAAGGCCTGTGGCTGGGATTAGGACTTTACTAGGGTAAACCAGGAACAATCTCACAGGAAAAATAACACAGGATATCTGAAGAGAGGCAGCAGCAAGTGTCAGTTTAAAGTCACTCAACCAGAGGGACATAGAGAACAGAAAAGTGTGACAAGATCACAGGACAACAGAGTGGTTGGTGAATAACCTCATGAGTACGCTCGGTATCACAGAAAACATCTATTCCTGACATCAGTATAAAAAAAAATCCTCTTTTTAAACCTTTTGCTTGTTTTGATATTGTTTAGGGCTTTTCATAGTTGCTAAGGAGAAAATCATGTTATAATAATGATTTAATAAAGCAACAAAGGGCCCGTTTCATCCAAGATATAGCAGATCAGTGAAGTACAGGCTTAGAGCATAGATTTATGTCCCCAGTCACTTCTGCAGGACTCAACAACAGCACCCAGCAATGGATTTTAGAACAGAGTCACTGTCAGGGCTCTGAATATTTGTTCTGCTGAACTGGGATATAGAAGAAAAAGCTCAGTATCTTAGAACCATATTTAGAAGACAGCACTAAGATGATTTCTTCAAATGAACTTGATGACAGGGAGTGGGATGTGTCTTGCTCACCACAAGGAGAACCAAAAGTTCTCAAAACTAACAGTACTGAAAACTAACAGGGTTTGGAAGCATTTTACCTACGCACCGACAAGGAGGGGAGTCAAACCTCAGGAAGAGCATCTACATGGGACTGAGAGGGCTGGGCAAGTCTGGAGTCACAGCACTGTATTATGACTCTGAAAAATACAGATTTTCTGTGGCTCTGCCACTGACCTGTTCTATGACACTGACAAATCACTTAAACCCTTAATGCCATGTTTTTTCCCCATCTGTAAAAAGATTTTCACTTTAAAAAGATTTTTTTAAGTTATTTTCACTGAAGTGCTTTAATGCCAATAAATCTACCAAATATCAGTTGGTGAAGGCTGGCAGCAGCATCAGGTGCCACATACCTACAACTGTGCTTCCATACTCCCTCAGAAACGTTTCTAGGCTATCTGTTCTGCCTTAACAACCATTCCTCCTGTTACGACCCTCTCAATGGCCACAGTCAGTTCACTCTCTAGTCCACCAAAATGGACAGAAAAAGGTCACATTTTTGAATCACCACAGATCTACCTATACTATTCAAAATCAAGGTATGTTCCCGTGCCCTGCCCCACCGCAGAGTTTCACAACAACCTAAACAGATCACCTCTAGGCAGGAGAGGAGTCAGAGCTTTGTGCTCATTCCAGCCCAAGGAAGGAACCCAAGGAACAAACAAACAGGTTCCAATCAAGGTAGTTAGACTACAAACTGCCTTTCCCTGACACATACAAGAACAGCAAGACCTGCCCAGAGCAAGCTGGCCTTAATAGCATGAATGTCTTTCATTATACCGGAGTTGCACTCCCTGCTGTGCTCCCTCCTCTGCGTGGTCAGCACAGGTATCTCTGAGCCCCTCTGCAGGAGAAGAACCCTGACATCCACCACTCAGGTTTCCTCTTGCACCCCTGCTGTGATCCAGCCCTGCAAGGGCTGGCCAGCTGGGTCTTATCTGCAGGCTGGGCTTTAATCTGAGCGCACAATCTCGCATTCACTCCGCAGCCGCGCTCCCCACAAGGGCTGAGCACTGCAAGTGTCTGCGTATGCTGGACAAGGTGCTCATTCATGCCATGGGAATGAGTCACCAGCGGGGCTGGACAGCTAAAGGCTGGTCCCAGCACTCATAGGAGGGACGTTCAAAGGAGCAAGAAAGGATGGGCACTTTTACAAACACTTGCTTCTTTTTTGCAGCCTACTGCTCTGACATCACTGCTCTGGACAGGAGGGGGAAGGAGGGTGGTGGGATGCTAGAAACAGTCAACGAACTGCAAAGTTTCTTTCATTTATCCTCCCAAAGCTGGGTGCTCTCTGTCATCATGCCAGAGACACTCAGGTGCAGACACGCTCTGTCACTGCAGCTCAGCTCCTTGTGCTGGCTTATGGTGGAGAAAACAAACATATACCTGCCAGGCCTTAGAAAACTCAAGTCAGAGGCCTCTTTACACACCCTGTATTTGGGGTTACTGCATTTGCTGCCCTTGCATCCAAGGCTGATGGGCCACATCCTTATCACTGCCCTTAGCCTCGCCTCTCCCTCCAGGCCTCGGTGTCCCTTTCAAGCACCTATTGCACCACTTCATTCCGACTCGGGGGAGCAACCCAAGGGAGCGGCAGCTTTCACTCTGGACACACACAGGACACAGAACAGGGCTGCTCTCTTTGCTCTACACCAAGAGTTACAGGGTACTTTCACACAGGTCTTCTCAGGAAGTATGCCAGCTCCTGGGGGAGTTGCAGGGACATGCTGCACTCACTCCCCAAAACATGGGAAAACGGTAAGGAATGCTGGATCACCCAAAGGCCTCTGGGAGACACTCTGGAACGTGGGTGGGCTCTGGGAAAATTTACTCCTCTTCTGGCTCTGGGCCAGAGTCAGGCCTGCATGGTACGTCCCAAAACACAGAGGGCAAAGATTTCTTCCTTCCTTCCATCCATCCATCTCGTCTTCTCCCTGTCCAAGATAACTGAATAAAAGCAGCGAGAGACGCCAAGCCTGTAGAAAGCCAGCTGCTGCCTTTATGTGTTAGCTCTTTATCTGGTAGGTCCTTCCCCAAGCTTCCCACTTGCATACTTCTGTCCATGAAAGCACCTATCTTGCCTGGAAAATGATATTGCAGTGTAAATGTGTATGCAGTGTATGTGCTTGTAAAGAGCTGGCTTGGGAGGGCCAGGCAGGTTTTACGCCCCTCTGTTCTGCTACGCTCTTCTTGCCTCTGCTACTCAGCAAGAAGTGAGACAGGAGCAGTTCGGTTCCAGATCAGAAGAGTCTTAACTAAGTTCTTTTCCTGGCACAGGAGAAACACCCCAGTAGCAGCTTTTTAATCACACATGCTCCAGCAGTCAGCACATTAACAGCAACATATCAAAGCAAAGAGCCTAACCCAGGCCATGTGGTCCTTGCCCAAAACAGGCTGCTGAAACTGTGGAGAGCAGGGCTGCAGCTTCTGCACCTGAGCTTCAGTTTGAGCAGGACTGTCCCCTCTGCCAGGACATGAGTGACAAGCTCCAGCAGCAGGGCTGGACTGCAGCACCACAGCCAGCCACGCTGCATTTCCACTGCCACCCCTTCTACAGGGCACGTCACCCTGGACCCCCAGCTACAGAGAAACTCTGCATCCACTGCCCACATCTCAGCTTATCACCCGGCCAAGGAGGCACACGAATAAGCAAGCAGTGACATAAAAGCAGCACAGCTGTGAGTGGTCAGCAAATGAAATACAGAAGAAATCCTCAAAGTGGGCACTTCAAATTCCCAGACAGCTAGCAAGGCAGCTGTAAGTCACAAGTTCCTGAGACTTAAAAAGGAAAATAATCAAAAATTAAAATGAAGACACTTATTTTTCAAGCAACAGACATAATTGTGAATAGCTTTTTAAAAGCACCAGGGCAACATGGAGAGGGGGAGAATGCCAGTTACAGCATTCACTTCCATATTTGCATGGGCCTCTGGTACCGAGAGAAATGGGGAGAGCCTGGCACAACCCCCTGCGCTCGGACTGCGAAGACGTCAGGGTTACTGCCTGAGCTCAGAGCTGGCAGAGGCCCCTAGGCTCAGCCCCAGCAAGCACAGCAGTATTTCTTGTGCAGATTACTCACTAGCAACCAAAGCAGAGCATGAGGGAGGAGAGACAATAGGCCTGTCGCAACCAGCCACTCTGAAAGGACACATGGTGCAAGCACACAGAGCCAGCTTTTGTTCCCCAGGGACAACTCATGGGTTTGCTGTGGCAGAATAACAAAGATTTTCACACCGGATTTTCATCTGTAGCTTCTGGCTGAGAGAGAAAGACAAAAGGGGATCTCTCCGACATGGAGAATAACTGGAGCAAGGCTAAGTGGGACTGCGACACATCAGGAGCCTAAGGAAACTAGCGCCAGCAAAGCAATCACCCTGGGCTCTCTGGGAGCAAGTCCCTCCACTTCTTTATTCCTCTACAGTTGTCCCTAACTCTGCTCCCCTCTCTGAACAAGAGACAGAATAGGACAATTGGGTGAATGAGGATAGGCAAAGTTGGAAGAGCTGCTGAAGGACACGAAGTGTCCTGCCAGTGCTTTTTGCTACTGTGAAAGCAGAGCCACTGATAATTACGTCAGTCCCTGCTGCAGATTCTTGAAGGACTCCTGCCGCACTCCAGGCGGAGTGGGAAAAGGGCTGGTCAAAAATCTTAGTGCAGGCTGGTGAGCACCCTGCTTGACGAAGTAACACAGGGAAGGATGCAGAAGAGCACCAGCTTATCAAAACTACGTGACTTGTTTTTGTGAAAGTAAAAATAAAACCAATTTTTGCAAGTAAACAAAATTACATGGATTTTTTTTAAACAAGCCATTGAAAAGGTGTGTTCATCTGGTTTGAATTTATTGTCAAAAGCCACTTTTCTCACTCTGCTCCCATATTTTCCTTCTTCTTCTCCTTTTCCAGAAAAGTCTAAGGGATTAGGAGGAGCAGAGAAGGATGAGACACAAGATTTTGTTGTGAATATTTGCAAAAAGACCTTCCTATCTATAATACAGATATCACTGTTATTACTTTGTGCTTTTGAACTGTGCAGAGGTAAGCACATTCTTTGGGTGGGTGGAAGGAAACGCTCTGTAACAGACCTGCCACCTAGGACAAGGACACCACTAGTGTTAAGAACTGGAGGCCTCAGTGGTATCTGCTCTAGCACAGGTGAAGAAGGTTGACAGGGTGACAGGAAATAGCACAAACTGAAACACAGAAATCTTCATCTGAAGATAAGAAAATACTTTGTAACTGTGAGGGTGGGTGAACACTGCAGTGTGTTGCTCACAGCAGCCGTGGGGTCTCCATCCTTGCAGATTCACAACCTGACTGGACACAGTGCCAGGCAACCTGTTCTAGCTGACCTTGCCTGAGCAGGGGAGTTGGACCAGATCATCTCCAGAGGTCCCTTCCAATCCCAACTATTCTGCAAGTCTGTGGTGCAAAACACATCCAAGGCATTTCCCTTCATACCAGCATTGTTCAAGGAAAAAAGAGGGGGATCACTCGCAATCCAAATGAGAAGAAAAAAGAAAAAAACACACAGGCAAAACTTACCACTCTGAGCAAATTCCGACGCTCCTTGAAGGTGGCACAGCAACCAAGGATGCCAGTAACCATGACAACTACTCCTGCCACAACCAGGATATAAGCAGTTGCCGAATAGGTGCTGGAGGAGAGCAGGCTGATGTAGTCACTCTTCTCAGCAAGGGTCCAGATACCCACGGCCATCACAGCCCCACCAGCCAGCTGGGTGAAGAGGGAGACAAGCAAATGAGGAGCTTCTGATGTGGGAGTTTCCTCATGATCAGCAGGACTGGGATACCAGCATGTGCCTCTGCTCTGCAACCAGAACCAAAGGGAACCCAGGCCAAAGGGAAGGCTCCTAGAGGACTCACTGGGGCTGGTAAGGGCAGGGAAACAAGGACGCCAGTTTGGTACCTGAGGCAGCAGAAGTTGCAAGCGAGCTGCAGCATTTGTCTGCATGCAGCAATTTACACTTGGACCTAAGCCTTCCCAAATACAGCCGCCCTCTTATCCGGGCAAATACAAAAAGATGCCAAATTCACTGGAATGCTACCTAGCAGCAATGGGTCAGAAAGCAGCTTCACACCAGCCAGCTTTCCATTGCCTGTAGGGGAGCTCCAGGCAGTTCTTTGTAAAAATCTCTCCTGGACGCTCTGATATTCTGTCTCTGGAACCAGAGGCAGAAACTATCTTTTGGCTTCGAGCAGAAAGCACTACTCCAGAAAGCTCTAGTGCGGACCCAGTCTCAGGAAGCAGACTGTCATTCTTGCTCTATCTGCCCCCAATCCACTGTCTCTGCTCTTTTTGAGAAGAGTTAGAGGAATAGCGAGTCCTCAGGTCTCATGAAGACACAAGTCACGTGAAAAAACACATCAGAAAGACAGCAATTTTTCAAGCACCCTCTTATTTGCTATACTTTGTACCATAACCCATAAGCAACCAGAGGCCACAATATTAAACCATGACCTCTGTTCCTTGTGCTGGTCTATGGAATGAAATTTGGGTCCCATGAATGTCAGAGCATTTTGTCAATTACCTCACTGGGACCAAAACTTCTGCCCTTGGCATCAAACCTGCAGTGCTATCTATGTGCCTCTGAAAAAGGCTGCAGCTCCTTACCCAGAAAAAGAAGTTGAAGATGAACAGCAGGTACTTGAGACAGATGGTCCCACAGGTTTCCTTATTTTCAGTATACTCACGCATCTTTCCGGCTTAGCAAGCTCCTGGAAAAAAAAATAACAGAAGTCTTAGAAGCCAGTCGGTCATCACATCCCTTCTCTCAGAAGGACAGTGTCTCTCCTCTTGCAAGAGCGCACACCTTCAAGCTTTTGCTGAAGTGAGACACTGAGCAAGCCATTAAAGTGACTTCAGGGATGCTAGACAGCACTTAGATTAAGAGCTCTTGTATCCATCTGAGTGACCTACACAGCATGAGACCTCACACAGTGTGAAGGAGAGGCAGATGGTACCAGTATGTGGTCTTACTATTCTATCTTCATCCTCCTTCTCTTCTCATCTGGCTGTCACTTCTGGAGATTCATTTTCCATTGGATTAATGCTCATGGAGGCGGTATCACATTCATCCTTGTGTGAGCACAGCACTTAGTGGAAGCTCTGACTCCAGCTTTAGCAATTGTGATCCTCAGCACTGTGAGGGAATGTCACAGGGCAGCAGGAAGCAAGCATGGCTATGTAACATGAAGTACATGACATCCTAGACCCATTCCTAGTTCCACTGCAGATCCAGAGCAACAACTACTGTTCGGTTTCAGGGCTGAGGGAACTTCTGTGCCCAGAAACAAAAATAACAGCCTTCTCCAAGGGTTATTTCACTCAAAGGATTTGCATCAAGTTTTCCTGGAGTTATTTCCTACATCCTGAACAAGCCTCTCCTGAAGGAGCTGCTACTCAAACTGAACTGTGGCCACCTCACCCTTATCAGGCCCACTCCTGTCACAGGACCCACCATCAGGCATGAGAAAAGGGATCCCAGTACCTGGCTCCCATGCGCAGCCCAGACCTGCTGCTTCTCAAGGAGATGATGGAAACTCTCCTTTGCATTTACAGAACAACCTGGCCTGTGAAACACCCTGTGGCAACAGAAAAGCACCAGACTCAGTCTCTATGAGAGAGTTCTGGGTACATACACCCGGCCATCACATCTAGTGACTACCAGGTTGGGTCTGTCAGTCAACACCATCTTTGTGGCTACATTTCTAGCATCAGACTTTAGAGCCTAATTCATTACAGAATTAAGTCTGGGAGCAGCAGCTGTCCAGTCAGAAGCATAATTATATTCTATTTGCACAGATGTATTTCCCTTTTCCTCCACCACCACTACAGCTCACACAAGACACCAGCCAGGCCAGTGTTTTAGAAACTAATAAATAAGGCTAGCAAGAAACCTAAGACTGAGAAGGTGCTCATCCTAGCAGATCCTAGGACTAAGCAGTCCACCTCGCCTGACCTCCTCGCCCAACTTCACGTGAAAGCATCTGCCTGCACAGCTGGCAGCAGAGAGCCACTTGATGGAGAAGGGAACAGCTCGGAGATGGTGGCACATACTAAGAAGCCTAACGCTTGATCTTCAAAAAATATCAAAAACACCAGCGATGCTCCGATTAATTACCCCATTGTAGCACAAAAACCTGGGGCAGGGAGAAGGAATGGATGCTGGTAGCACCACATGCTCTGGATAGACTTGTAATTCTGAATGAGAAGATGCTTTCAATGTAATGTTCATAGAAGGTGACAGATTTAAAGCTCCCAGAGGCTTCATTTAGCCACAGAACAGGAAGAGCAATAGCCAGACAAGCTCCCACAGCTACACACGTTTACACGACCCAAGACAGGTCCCTCGGCCCATCCCAGATGCAGACCCTCTGGAAACAGACTCCTCAGGCTCTGCTATCCTTGGCATCCTGCCCACACCTGCTAATATCAGGGCTGCACACAGCAAACCTGCCTTGCAGCTTCCTCCTCTGAGACCCATCTGCTTCATTTTGCTGATTAGCCAGAGTTATAGGAATAAACTACTCAGAGGACATCATCAAGGAGGAGGGGAAAAAAAGAGAAGAAAAAAAAAAAAAAAAAGAGAGAGAGAGAAGGCCACTGACAGTATTTCCAGGTATCACCAAAGAGCAGCTGCTGGACCCCACTGAGCAATGCTGATTTGCACCTCCTTTTAATTTCAAACCACAAATATCCAAGATGAAATTGAATTTTATTCTGGGTTGAGGACAGGGCAGACATGCAGCTGAGACTCTGTTTGGGCTTGGATGACAGAGAACCTGAAATTCCCCTTGGCGCTGCAGATCCTGCTCCGCTGAGCACCACGTACAGACTTCCCGCAGAGCTCCACTGCTATCAGGAGCGGAGGATCTGTTTGTTTCCAGAAAGCTGGCGGTGAACAGCTGCAGGTTTATAAAGCACGGTGACTCACGCACTAAGGGCAGGCCATGAATCAGTGAGCAATCATGGCTGTCTCCCGTTTGATCTATCCTTCCTAGCCAGGAGCAGGCCGGATGGTGCCGGCCGCCCCTGCACACTTCCCGACTCGAGCAGGACGCTTCAGCATCCTTCTGGGAGCAGTGCCTTGCCTCTCCCTGCCTTGTGCAGGGTGCCCTCTCCCTCCCATCACCGCAAACTCCACTTCAGGCAGAGCTGCAGGGAGCTGCCTGTTCCTCGGGGAGAGCAAGAGACGTCCGTGGTTTGCCCTCCCTAAAGGGGAAGCCCATGGGCAGGGAGCTCTGCAGTTACAGCTGGCAGCAGGAGCAAGCGAGACAGTGTCGCCAGCTGGGCAAGCTGCTGACCACCACCAAAGGCTCCGAAGGCGGCAGGTCCCAGTCTGTACCTGAGCACCTTGCTGGGCACAAGCCTCACCCAAAACCCACTAACGTGGCCAGGGTTTCTTGACTTCAGTCATCAGCCCCACGGAAGTGATATGGAACATTCCTGACACCAGCTGAGAACAAGCAACCTCAATGAGCACCCACAGTTGTATTCCATTTCAAAACACATGGGGAAATGCCACAATGCAAGGGTTTATGCCGCATCCAGAGATAACTACAAACAAGCTCTTCTCTGGACAGAAAAGGATGAGCTATGCCACTGGGTATACACATCTGAGTATACTTTCATTGTGAAGCTCATATCTGATTAATATGTTCTTTGCACTTGTAAAGTGTTTACTAATTGAAAATGTGGCTAAAAGACCAAAACCACTGCCACAATGAAGTTCATTTGGTCTATTCCAGCACACAGTACTTTGAGCAGTAAGCTAAATACAAAGAAAAGTAATCATAGGATGAAGGCACTGAAATTCAGTCCTATAGTAAAGACAGATATCTTTACATAAAACATGCCAGAAATTGGAAACAGATTCCTATTACGGATTCCTTCCGCACCACGACATATGAGACAAGAAGATATCACAGCCTACGTGGAACAAAATACACAAAGACAAGAGGGTAAAAAAGACAAAGACAAATTAATGCAAATTAAACAACACACAAAAGGAAAGAATAATTTGAAAATCAGTTCAAGAAACTGGGAACTGAACAGCTTGAATTCAGTTCTTCACTGACACATACCTCTCGCATGGTTTGGGACAAGTTATTTAATCTATCCCTTTTCCCTGTTCTTTCTCTACAACGCAGAGGACACTGCAATGACACTCCTCTCTCTCTAAATACTGTGATGCTGTAAGGATCTGCAGGGGGAAGTCTTGCTGATAGAGGCATGATAGGCTCCAGGTGACTTTGCTGCCTTGGTAAAAGCCCTACAGCAATACATTTTCACCACCTTAAAACTGCTTTTGTCAACATACATTATCTTGGCCAAAGAAGCCGTACAACCTCATCTGTGGTTACTAAGCCTATTCTAGTAGTATCCTGAGAAGACTGTCTGTTAAAGCTACTGTGGTAAACATTTAGAGGGTGTGCTGGCCCAAATACATTAAAGATTGTAAGGTGGTTAAATATACTAGCAATGAATAGTATCAGAGAACACAGCAACAGGGAAGCACCTACAAAATGAAGGAGAAGGATCAGGAAAGACTGACACACTGACACCTACACAACTACGCTTAGAAGAGAGAAAAAAAAAAGGCAATTCTTTCTCCTCTGTCTGAATGCAAGTCACAACCTCCCACCCGGGTAGCATCATTTGGTGCACATGCTAACATCAGGTGTTAACCATTCCAAGCCAAGTTCTTAAGGTCTCTGGTTTTGCAGAGCATAAGGCTCCAGGCAAACTGGACAACAAGACTGCATGTGAAGTTGAACATTTAAGCTTTAATTCTGGGTGCAGAGCACTTGGGAACACAGCGCTTCATAAACAGCTTTCCGTTGTGCCAAAGCACCTAAAATGTCAGTGGCAGGACTGGGTCTGGGATCCCACATCAGACTAGTGTACTTTCATGTGCAGACCCACAGGCATATGCAGGCATGCCCTACAACCCAGCTCAGAGAGCACGTGGCATGCACACGCACACACGCTCCTGCTTGCTAGGCGTTCGTTTAGTCATCACAGACTTTGCCTAATACATTTGCCTCAACTTGCACAGCAACAGGAGGTAATTAAACAGCAAAGAAAGCCAGGCCTGCAGGCCTTTTCTGCACAACATGCCCTGAGGCAGCATCTGATGGATGATGAAGAAACTGAAGAAACAATGCCAAAACAAATGAAATAGTTCCCAAGCCATTAAAGGTAATGCAAGCAATGCTTAAAAATAATGACTAAGGGCAAGAAAATTGGTGCTCAACATGGCAGTGACTTCTATTTCACAGGTGACATCTATGAACAGACAGAAAACAGAACATCCTACACTGCGAGGGCTGAAGTGGAGCCCTCGGGCCCATCTTTATCAATATGCACAAGAAAGATTTGACACAGAACAGACCCTCTGGGGGCATTTTTGCTGCCATGAAAAAGTAGCTCCCTGGGGCTGCAAGTTCAGTATTATCTACCCCCTGCCTATGTGGCTCCCTCACACACTCACCAGGCACGCTGCTGGCCTGGAGGGCAAGGTATGGTTACCTGCAGTCTGCCTGTGCTGCTACCCTGGCCAGCTGCACGGCAGGTAACTCGGGCCCTGAGGCAGGTCCCAGCAAACAGAACAGACGTGATCTTCTTGGTATGTGCAGCTCGGGTGTGGGCCAATAACGTGACGTATTATCTCCAGCAAGCTGGCTGGAGACCTCATTCTGCAGAAAGGCTAACCTGCAGCTGCTGGAAACATGACCTCACTGTCCAAGTCCTCTCTTCCAAAAAAATGCAGGTATCGCTACCATCGCCTCACCTGCACCACTGGAACATCTGCAGAAAGGCATAAGCTGCTTATCAGTTTGCCAGCAGATCTCTCATAGCTCACAAAGCAGCTACAAGCCATCAAATAAAGAGTTTCTCAACTCTAAACTTGGAGCCCCTCCACACCTAAATTCTAAGGCTTGTAGATGAAGTGCTGTGTTTTACACAATTCCCACGAGAGCCGTTACCCACCTCAAACCAAGAGCCAGCATGGGCCAACAGACTGGATACTGACCTGTCACTACCGAAACAACTCCAAGCACCACTGCAAGTCTTCAGTTCCCCGCAAAGGGTTTTTTTCTTCACGCTCTTTTCTTCCTGGCTCTTATCCTCTGTTGGCTTCAAAAAAGCAGCTGGAAAAGAAAAAAGTGAGACATAGAATCACACACCACAAAGTTTTATTCTGGGAATCAGAACCGGATTTGCCATTTGCCACTTTGCCATCAAGCCCTCCTTTTAATGAGAGTCACATAGCTTCAGAATACACTCCATGAGCATATCTGAATAAATTGTAAAGCGTGCACGGAATAATGGGGGAAACTCAGACTGCAGCAAAGCAAAAAATGAATGGTAGGAAGCCACGAGAATAGGTTTATATTCACATCTGCAATATCCTGTAAACACTGCATTTGTTTCTGTCAAGACCATATACACATCACAGCGACAACTCATTTTGGCAACAACAGATGAGTCCAAAAAGATTTGGAAGCAACTCTATGAGCAGGCTCATGAAGAAAATCCTTCTGTGCAACATGATGCCCTAGGTGGTGACAGTGCTTCAAAGTGACCATTGCCGCCGGCTACAGCGCAGGAGGCATTTCATGACAGCCTGGGAAGAGCAAAGAAGTAGACAGAAGGGCTTAGAATCCTCGAGATCCTAAGAGCACAAACCAGAATGCAGAGAAAAAGGTCCTTGCAAGTTGCTGTTTTTTTCCCACTCCCATCCCTGCTGAAGTACAACTTCATAACTGGGGGGAAAAGGGGGGAAAAGAATAGTCCTGCTTTTGTAAAATAGAGGTTCCCATTTTTTATGCATATATTTCTGCTACCACCTCCCCAGCCATCTCACCCTCATATCACAGCAGTCAGATCTGATTCTCCCCTGAAATCTGTCTCCATTGGCATTGCTGGTAGCAGGATGGACAGAAGGGAAAGAAATACCAGTTCTTCTTACCTAAACTGTTTGTTTGGATACTGAGTTCCTGATACTTTGATCTTCACCTTGATACTTATTTCATAGTCTGAGGTTTAAGCTCTCTTATCTATTGCCTTTACTGGGAAATGGAACCATCAATACTTTATGGTTCCTGAGTGGGAGAATGGCGGGTTTGCAAACCACCTGGGAAGTATACAGGCTTACTTCTTACTATTGGATAAAATATAATACAAATCATAACCATTTTAACATCCTATTAACTTTAAGAAGAGTTTCCTGCAAAGCAGGCACAGAGAGGCAACACACCTTCATTTATGATCAGACAGTATTCTCTATGAAAAGAAATGTAAGTGCTAGTGTAAGTGCTGGTAAGTGCTAGAAACTTTTAAACTCACATTACTACTCAGTCTCTAAATCACAGAGAAACAGTGGAAATCCCAACTCTTGAGGCATTCAGAAAAAGGCCACAGTACTGGAATCATAAACTAAAGAACTGTCACATACTGTGCTGGACAATGGGTTGTTTACATGAATGGAGACTTTTCTACATTTATGATCTCTTTCAGGAATTGCTTTAAAACAATATTTGACAAACAACAAGACAGTATCAAAAAAGCACATCTCTAGTGGCAGGTTTCACTGTGCAGACACTCACTGCCTCGCCCGGACAGCACTGAATGGCTCGCATCTCTTTGCCTCCTTCCTTCTCTCCTCTGTGAGCGAAACCTGCTCAGAGGTTCTGCTCCGAGTTCAAGTTTTGTTCAGCAGCTCTCTCGAGATTTTACCCAGATCCTCTCCCATCAAAGTTTTGCTTGGTGGCCTCTGCTTCCAACAGTTCTGCCTCCTTGCAGCAGCCACAGATGGCTTTGGAGGCATAAATGGAGAGAAGGAAAGGCACAGACAGCACAGCCACCTGCAAAGCAAGCAGCAGCTCCGAAGCATCCTCACTCCCAAGCTGGAGCCCAAATTGTCCCTGAGCAGCCCTTGTCCCTACCATTTATAGGTCCATCACATGTTGCTCCCACACTCCTGCCCAACTAGAAAAGAAAGCCAACCCAGGATACAAAGCCAAATGTTTTGTTTTCCATTTCAGCATGCCAGAACATGCTGGAAAGTCAAAGTACTTATGCCTCTAGGGCCTGGGAGAAAGCAAGACATGAATGAGACAACTAGTGAGGCAAAGAAATAACTTCTCAGGATTTCTTTTTCCATTTATAGTCTGTTTGGAGCGGAGATGCAGCGTAGATGTGGGTCTAGAATCCTCACCCTCCTCTCCAATCTTTACATGGAATTTAATATATTTAGTATTTACTCTCCTTTACAAAGGAGATTCTACAGACCAGTTTGAAAACAGCACCATGCTTTTATCTCCTCCTGCCCATTGTCTAAAGCGATCACACGCCCCTCCTCAGGGCAGGGAGCATTTTCCCTTGACTAGTTTGTAGGGTACTTTGTGTGGAAGAATCTTGCTGCAAGCCTCACAAGGACTGCTGAGAGTCAATCAATCGATCAGTAAATAAATAAGAGCAATTTCCAGCCACACTGTTTGCTCTGTCAAGCCTGTGCATGACAGTTCCCAGACTGGCCAGGTACATTCAGCCAGAAATATAATCTCTCGACCATCGCCGAGGGACCAGGCTTGACTCCGCCTATCCACAGGGAGAGTGCTTTTCTGAAGAACTTAAAAATGGGTTGGGAGATGGTACCCTGGGAATCTGGGAGCACCTCACCTCAGCACTTCCTGGGCCTTTCATCACCTCTACAGATGAGCCAAAAACTTGCTGCCCAGAAAACTGGTCATCCCACTGGATCTGAGGGGCTACACTTGCAAAAAACACTTTTTTCTTCTACTGGGCCTCCAGATGGTTCATTTTGAATATGTTTCTCAAGAGAGACATAAGTTCTTAACTCCTACTAGTTATGAAGAGAATCAGGCATCCAATGAGGAATTACTTGTCTAATACAGCTGAGGAGCCACCTCTTTCAGCACAAGAGCTGTCTCTTAAGATGAGAGCCCTCAGCCCTTCCTCTCGGTTTTCCAAGACAGTTTAATTCCTCAGGGGAAGGAGGTACCGAAACATAAATAACAATGAGATTAAATTTAAACTCAGCAAAGATTTATACACTCATTGTCACATACATTCCTGTGCATTAAGTATTTTATGAGAGGTGTATTCAAACCTGGGAGAAGCAATGACTGGTTTCAGGATCCTCAAGGCTAAAAGCAACTTACTTTAGTCTATAACCAATTTTACAACCATTAACAAAAAAAAAAAAGAAAGAACAAGAGAAAAAGAAAATGTGAGCAAGCATGTCCAGGAGAGTGCATGTTTGTGCTCTACAACTGTTCCACTCTAAAGGAAACAAAAGCCCTTGATAAGACTTTCTGGCTCTAACAGAACACACAGAGACAGCCACATTCTCAGACCATGAAGCCACAGGCCACTGCTCCCAGAACTTGATAATGTGGAAAGCAACAGGCCCCTTCAAACACACAAGCCCTGGCTAAAACGGGAAGGCAGGCAAGAAACAGGCACTCAGGGCTTGATTAATGGGCACTCCTTCTGCGTACAACATGAACACAACATCGTCTTGTATTCAATAAGGCTCCCTTTATCCCAAGGGATCCCAAAGCACTTTACACTATTTATTCACAGGAACCACTTCAGTGGCCTTTGAACTGAAGAGAGGAACAATAACAGTCCTTCTGCTCACTACAACGGCCAGAAACCAGTGCCTGGCGTGTGTTTGCAGAAAGCTCACAGCAATGAGGGTTTGCCTTGACTAGGAACAGTAGGTCAGGCCTAGCCAACAGACAAGACAAACTCTGTGTTCACTACAGCGCGCTATGGGTACTTTTAATTCTGTTTTCTATCTCTGATCATTGGCACTAGGCGCTTCTTTTAAAGCAGGACTTTCAAACCACATTTCTAAAGAGAAGAGTTTGTGCAGAATCAGCTTTCTTCCTGATCTCTTTATATTAATTAGCTTATCACTCTCAGCTCAGCTCCCAGAGGAGAAGCAAGTGGATCCTCAGTGTTTTCAAGGAATATTTTCAAAATCGCCCTTCCCCTGTAGCCATGTCAGTATTAGAACTAACCCAGTAACATTAAGCCCACCTGCAATAATCCTCCCAGCCCTTCATTCAGGTAATTGTGTACATGGATTCAAACATGGTCTCCAAAAATCACAGTGACTGTAACTATCTGATCCCTCTCTATAAATAAACATTTTGTACACAGTGATTTAAGCTCAGTGCAGAGACATTTGCTGTGTAGTCAATATATCATTGCTAATCACCTGGCTGCAGCCTCTCTTTGTAAAGGTGCTTTCAGTTTCATTCCCTGCAGATCCTGACACAGTCCAGCTGATCTTCCATCTACCTGTGATATTGGGTGCATACCCACTGCAGGCCATCCTCCTCTCTCTTATTCACCACAGGGTACATTTCTAGCCTCTCAGTGACATAATATCCTATGTAGTCTCACAGCCTCAATGACTATTTAGTTCCTAAAACCAAGCTTGCAAACAGAAAAGGCAGCAATATTTCCATGTTATATACAAGAGCACACAGAGATTAAACAACTGGCAGCAAAGAAGGCTTGAATGCTGTTTCCTCACGTTTCAAGATTTATAATCCAGCCATGGAACCATTCTGTTCTCTGGAAAACCACAACAGAGAGCAAAGTAGTATAACACAGTCTCCAGGCTACATATTAGCACTTCTGTGCAAGAGCCCAAGCCACCTGACTGCAGACAGCTCCGCAGTAAACGCAGAGGTACACAGTGAGCAGGCAGCAGCGTTAGCTTCTCTATGAAGTTTGTTCTGCTTTAATCAGATTGTTCCTGTTCACCTTTTCTGCAGTGGAAACAGGCAAAGCAAAAGTCTCTGGAGTCACAACACAGATCTCTCACAGGAAGCAAGTCTCTGTTTCAGTTCAGGACTGTATTTTTAAAGCAGCCAAGAAGGGATTTGACAGCAGAGGCTGAGGTGACAGTCTCATCACTTCAGACATGTCACTGATTAACTCAGAAGCGATGCCAGAGACAACCTCAGAGCACTTGGCATAGACTTCAGAGTCCCCAGCACTACTAAAGGGGCAACACTTTCTGGAAGACGCCAGCCTACTGACCAGAAAGAGAAGGTCACGCAGCCAGTAAAGTCTTGCCTTAATCTGGCAGGCTAGAGAGTTACCA